ACAACACTCTGAATGACAGAACATGGATCAAGGTTACATGTGCCAGCTACACCCAGGAACAACAAAATCCTGATTGCCAACTGTGTTATTCCTCTTAGCAGGCCAACTGCTTAGGGGAAGCAGATCCATACAGAAAATGCAGACCAGTCACTACAGAAAATTCTACTACTGGGAATCCTAGCCCTAAGGGTTTTTCTTATGGAAACATGACAACTAATTTAATGAAGGCTGCTCATACCATTGATCCTTGAGGAATGCATGGCTAGCAGAGGAAAGCAATGCCATAGCACAGCAGCAGCAGACACATTATAATTGCAATCAAAACATTTCTTTTGCTATATATTGCAGGGTTGTAGGCCAATGTCTTCCTCAAAAATCTTGAGATGAGCTAGTAAGTTCTGTTATAACAAGAATTATGTTCCTCCTGAGCAGGTCATAAAATTCATATCAAAGCAAGGCATAAAGTACCACCATTTTACTCCTTACTTTACTCATTTTCAAATTAATGCATTGAATGCCCAAATGAGAAAATGACTCATTAGAAAGAGTTCAGTTACAGTAAAGGTTATCACAGTTTCTTAATGCTTTCTTGTCCAAAAGAAATTTGGGTTTGCTACTTTTAAGGGCATTACACTCAAGGCCAGCCCAGGTAAGAAAATTTGATGGTAAGAGTTCCAAGCTATCTGTTAGGTTTTGGGTTTTTCTTCCCTGCCAAATATTACTCAAGTATATGCTTGCTGATTTTACAAAATTTCTTTTCAAAACTGAACTTCCAGAGCATCTTTATAACTAATGAGGTAACAAAATATCAGATATAGGACTAATAGAAGAATACACATAGCACATAATCCTAAAACATCTTCACCACTGCTATTAAAACTTGCAAGTTTCAAAACATCTGGGGAAATGCTGAATGTCGCAGCTTGTAAAAACTTCAGTATTTTAAAGCCTGAGTTGTGAAAGCCTTTTATCTATTCAGAAAAACACAGTTCGGTGATTAAGGGTCTTCAGAAGGTGTTATTGGTCTTGCATAGGACACTCTGCAATCTATCCAGGATATATACCCAATTTCTTGGCCTGAATGATTTTTGATGAAGACAGAGTCAGTAATCTCTTCACTTATAACATCTAAATTAGGTTACTATAAATCAGGGATTTATGACAAATGAGATAAACATTCCCAAAATACCCTTTGGCAAAATGCTTTTGGACTTCAATTTTGCCAGATTTTTATTTGCCTGCAAAATTGTCAGTCTATAGTGTACAGAGACATCATTTAGGTTCTGTCATACTACATAAAAATGCCTTGACGTGTAGCTCTTTCTATTTGTATAGGTTGTGCATATCAGTGTGTCTCTAACTTCTTTTTATTTGGGCTTATGAACTGCCATGCAGGCAACTCTTGAAAATACGTGGGTTTTAGTATATTATTTCTGGAGGTTTTCATGCTGTCACCTACAAGGTATGCAACAGAATTCTGTATTCCCCCACTTCAAACTATGTCTACCCAAATATAAAGACTTCTTACCAGTTAAGATTACCAGCTTGGATTTATTTCTACACAAAACACGGTAAAACAAAATTTAAAAGCTGCAGTTAATTTCTGAAGCTGGATTTAACATGCCCTATTACTTTACTACAAGGATACCACAAATCCCGGTGGAGCAATGCTACTGGCAAGAACTATCTAGCAAGGATGACACCCAAACTGGCTTGGACTGCATAAACCAATACTAAAAACTGTTTTCACTTCTACATGCTGAAACTTGCAAGAATTTATAAACCAAATAAAATCATTTCAGACAAACAGAAAGCAAATTATTAACAGTGAACATTTTTTTTTATAAGGCAGAGCAGAAAAGAGCAAGTGATACTAATCTGAGGAACAATTTCATAGTGTGTTAGAAGTATGATTTCTATTAGAAATGTACAAATTATGCCATGCAGTGCTTACAAATTAACAAAAAAAAGTATTATAAAAGTGAAGTCCTGCTGTGTCAAATATGCCACACAATTTTTGTTCTGATAACAGCTATTTAGGTTAGGGCGTGACTTTTCTCTGATATAGCTGTGCTAGTACAACCCCTAGTGTGGACACAGTTTACTGCCATGAAGGCATTATATTTGTGTAATTTATAAAGCTTGTTCCTAAGCAGGAAAAGTAGTAAGTAAGGCACTGTTATTTCAGCACAGCTACATCCACAATGGGAGGGCTGAGAGAGAAAAAGAGAGGGCAGCAGGTTATGCTACTTTACAGCATACCAGGCCAGATGAACAGATGCAGTTTTTGTGTAGAGAAACTGTGTGGTACATGTGTTTCCCCCTAACTCCCTCCATAATCCTGATGTTAATCATGATCATGATAGATGATATAACAAAACATTTATACAATTTAAATGGTAACATTGCTCATTGCTTCTTAATTTTCAAGGAATATTCATATAAAATGTTAATAACAGGTAGTCATACCAAGGTGTCAATACTTGTTAGTAACCCTAACTGAGCAATAAAGATAGGAAAAGAGACATTAGGATAAAACAAAATAAGATCTAGTCTATATAATCCCTTTAAGTTTCCTAAATGATATAAATTCAGTTCTGAAGAGCTTTATAAATATCAGCATATAATAAATATATACCTGTATTTACTGACATATATGTGTCTGGTGATTACATATGGGAATTTCTGCCTATTCTGACACACCGGAATAATTTCAATCCCTTTTCAAAAGTCATTACATATAAACCAAAAAGCATTTTCAAAACTGAAATTGATCCACAGCACAATTAAAAATACAATTGCACCTCAAGAAACAATAAACTCACTTAAAGGGCAACCTCAAACATGATTCTTTGCTTTTAAAACAGAAAAAAAAAGCATAATTTCATACAGAATAGCATGAAAATACTCATACATTATTGTTTCTCTACTTTAAAAAAATAAGTATGTATTTATTATGAACAGATGGTGGCCAAGGAAGGTATCAGCTCTGTCTCTTAGCCAGAAGGTCAGGTCATGGCTGAGAGACCAAAGAACAATTACTGTTTGCTATTCAGTGCCATATAAGATAAAACATTTCAGGTTTTTCTTTAAATACAAAGCCAGATGCAATTGAGCTGGTTTTGTTTCATTTAAATAAAATAATTTGCAGTGACTTAATAACATTTGTTAAGATTTGATTTAAAAGACCCCCCAACCAACCAGCAACAACAACAAAACAAGACAAAAAATGAACACACACTTTTGGGTTGCCTTTGAACACGTTAAATAATACTAAGACATATACAGAACTTTGTTACTAGAGCCACAGCTATAAAACAGCTGCAAGGTACTGAGTCTGAGAATTTCAAAATGATTTGTTTTCCTCTTTTTTGAGGAACCAACAATCATATCTGAACAACATAATTACTTTGTATAATTACTGAATTATCTAAATTTTTATCTAATAATATCTGCTGATTAGAACTCCCCCTCCCATCACTTCACTTTATACCAAATTATAAATCATCACATTTTGGTGTGTTGATCTCCACATTGATTACAATACCAGCATATCGATACATGAGGTTAAGACATTTTATAAATTTTGCAATTTGTTCAAAAGGCAATCCTGAAGCAAGTTGGAGAACAGGATTTAAAATCCAAGATACTTCAAGTATCTTATTAAACACATCCTGTTTTATTTGTATGCCAAGATTATGCCAACTCTTTTATCTGTGATATCTGTCAAGACACAGACGACAAGCCTGTTTTTTGTTTTTCAAAGTGTCCTAAGGCCTAAAGGATGCAGGAGTAAAAAAAAAAGCCAACCCTGAAAAAAAAAAAAATGCTTCAAGGCCCCTGTTTTCTGTGCTGTATGATTTTCTATACATATTGAAGTGTTATTTTACCTAATAAGGTCCTTCCTTTGAATTTTACATATCTTTTCCTTATAATTCAAATTAATATTGCTTCCAGCTTAAGCTTGTACTTTATTAAATTAATAAACTTATTGTCCTACATGCAGCTTTTGGGGAACTGGCAAATAAAAATATAATTCTAGAAATATTCCATTTTTACCCTACATATATTCTTAGACAGGGAATGATTTGTTCAGGTATTTACAGGAAAATGAATGTTTCAAAACCACTTGGATAGGCTGATCCAATAACAAAATGTATACTGAAAAAATTATCCTCATGCACATCTTAAATACCTGTGTATTCAGAAGACATGCACTCCTATGTGCAAATCACAACTTAGGAAGGAATAACTGAAATTCTGAAGTCCTGGAGAAAAATGGACAGTACCTCAGCAAAAAGGGCACTTCAAAAGATGCACATTACACCTGTTCAAGCTGTTTGCCAAGTATGCTGCAGGTTACTCTAATAATCTTTCTTACTGCATGGGTTGTTTTCTCACAGACTACTTGTAAGGCATGTACTGGGTTTTGTCTTATTATAAAACACACTCTTAGATAAGCAATGGTTAATGCCTAGTGGAATTTTTTTATAGCTTTTTTTCCTAGAAGGTTACTTTTCTTTTGGTTCTTTTTAAACTTTTCTATAAATCTCAAAATTCATTAACCTTGAATCTTTAAAGAAATTGGAAGAGAAATTATTTTCACTTTTGGTATAATTAGGTTATACTAAAAGTCTTTGATGGTCTGTCAGGCTGCATGTATTGGTAATTCTGTGTGGATTTATTTGTGAGAAGAAGTGTATAAACATATGTATACAGTACATACAATTTAAGTACGTTGTATGAATACACATGAGAGTAATTCTATATGAAAGCATGGGATGAGTAATATGCAAAACTGAACATACTAGGGCTGAAAACAAGATTAAGATAACCAAGAGGAATTTATTTAGCAGTAATAGCTGGCTTTTTGCCATCAATTCAGAAACCATTTAACAGTAATAAATGACCAGTATTAGAAAAACGAATCATTCCAGCTTCCGAAACAACCCTACTCAGACTTCTAATAACTGCAAAGTTATAGCAGTATTATCTCTTACCTGGTCCTTAATTTCAAGCTCCCTTATAGTTTTTGTTCTGTACTCTCTGAGCTCCTTTTCTGCCTCATCCTTCTTCATTTTGGTTTGATTCAACTGATAGCGCATTTCTCCACACACCTGTTAGATTACACAGACAACATGATCTGTAGCTTGAAGAATCCATACCCAGGGTTTGCAATTAGATCTTTTGGTGCCCTCTAGAGGTCACTGAAATGCAACATATCTTAATTCACAGATATTTTAAGACTACATATGGCAAATGTTTTTATATAAAAAAGGTGGATCTGAATTCCCTATATAGTCATTAACTTTGAAATATGCAGTGTCTTCTAGATTCAGATATATTTGGATCAAGACTTTGCTAAGTATAAATATTTATGTTGTAAATATATGCTACTAAATACAGTTAAACTACAGTTTCTGGTTTTATAGTCTTCTTCCATTCTCTGTAAAATCCCAAGAAAGACTATGTAAACACTTTTAAAACCTAGAAGTAAAGGATCTAGCACACTCATATATAAGGGTGAATTTTCTTAACTTGCCAATTTTCCACTGTTAAGAAAGAAATTGTTTAGATGTTAATACAAAATTTTGAAAGTTTGATCAGAACATTACATACTTACTACAAACTGAAGATAAATTCATTAAAAACAATGCCTAATTTAAATATACAAATGATCCAGAAGAAATGCATCAAAGGAACATTTAAAGAAATCATACAGGACAATTGTTCCCTGCTGTTAGAGTGCTCATTATGTTATCTCCTCAATTTTTCATCTGAACGTAGTTCAACTTCAGAGTGTCTGGGGAGGGACTAGGAGAAAGTGAAAGAGAAAGAATAAAACAAACCCAAAATCACACCACATCAATCCCTCCAACATAACTTTCTCTACTGCTGTGCAGGGATATTATTGTTCCATTTCTCAATCTAGGCTGTCCCTTTTATGTCCTTATCCTGTGTCATCACCTCCAGTTCATGGCTGTTTCTTTCACCTTAGTTAACAAAGCAAAAACATGCACATTCCCTAATGAGAATGTAAATGTTTTACTCACAACTCCTCTTAGACAACTTTCTTACCAACTCACTGTACTTTCCTGCCTTGCTTACATACTTTCAGCAGACTTGGTTCCTAAATGTACACCCTTCTAAATTGCAGCTACAATGCTCTGTGCTCCTTGACAATGTCCTCACATGTTCCACAAATCAAATTAATTTCTGTTTTTCAGTCTTATACCTTTCTCATTTTAACTATTTTTTAAATTTTTTTTTCCCCTTAAAAAAAGGTAGGAAAAAAGTAAATATGCATACTGCAATGAAATCACTTTAAGAAAAAACTAAACCAACTGTCATAACTTCTAAGAAATAGCATCACTTATAAATTCAAAGGACAGCTTGTGAATTTAGCCATTGCAAATAATTGTAAGCAGCAAACGCTTTGAAGAATGGCAAGGTTCTGAAGCATTTTTTCAATACTAAAAAAATCATATGCACCTAAAAATTGTAAGATACAACTGCATAGATTGCAAACCCTGTCTTTCTACTTCCACTTTCCTTTATATGAAGGATGCAACAAAATGCAATGTCACTTCCTCCACATAAAATCAAAAAAACAACAGTAATCCTTGCCTTCAGCTCCCCCATACACTGTACTAAGTGACTAACACAGGCGAATCAGCAGATGGTGCTGTCCTAATAATGGATTTTTCAGTCTCCTCGGGAATGAGATTCTCACTCCAAATTTTCTTCCCCTGACTCCTGGTACATGAAGAAAAAAATATTTCAGATAAAACTCAAAAAAGTGTTGCTATTTGCTGTTTTTGATAATGGCAAACTGAATTTGGAAACAAGGAGTCGGCTTATCAAGCAACGATGTCACTTACATAGCCAGTTAAAAATGTCAGGGTGATGCACAGTCCCACCAGCTAAATGGTCTGGAGTTCCTTCAGCATGTTTGAGACTTTCCAGTTTAGTACAGGGACACAGATGCCATTTTCCAATCTCTCAGGACAGTGCAATAAAATCACAGCATAGACTAATGCAAGGTAACCACCTATTCAGCTTTGGATTGATAAACATTAACTGAAGTACAGACTGAAACCACAGTATCACCCTTCTGAGAGATAGCCTCAAATCAGTAGGCTACAAAATTGTTCTTTACAGACCAAAGAATATTTACACCCACTATCTCTTTCACCACCTCCTTGTCCCTGTAAGTTGTGCTAGTCATCTGTGAACCCAGCCTAAAAGGCCAAAAGTGAACTTCAGAAATAGTAAATCAAACCATTCTGGCATTCTTAAAATGCTTTCCGATTTGTCTTTCAGCTGAAATGGAAGTAAATTTTCTAGTAAATTGGGATTACATTTTGCTGTGAATTTTCTGCAATACTCTCACCTATTTCTATGAGCCAGCGCAGCAGAGGAAAACAGGAACTGTTGAAAACCTCTCCAGAAATCTCTAGAGGCCTAAAGAATTAATTGCTCTCCAAAGCCTTGCAATTAATGACTGGGCTCTAGGATTATTGGTACAGTATACAAAGGCACTTCACAAGGTTGCAACAAATTTGAATTCAGAAATTGCCTGTTCTATAGAAATTTAGCATCCCCTCATCCTCATGAAGTTAATTCTATAACAAGTGAATGATGAAGTTAAGCTAATAAAAATAATAACTTTAATAGCATGTCATCTCCCAGCATAAGCTGTGAATGGTAATTGTTCTTTCTTTCTCATGTTACAGCCCACATTAAAGGCTCTAATAGACTGAGAAAGGTGCAAAATAAAGCACCCAACAGCAATACACCCAGCAAGAGATAGATGTTAAGCTATAATTCTCAAACAGAAGAAAGATCTCTTTGCAAGAGACATACCATCAATATTAATGAAAAAAAGCAATAGAAAGTCTAAAAACAAGTACTTGAAAAACAGTGATTTGATACAGCTCCCTTTATTCTAGCACTGCATGCCCCAGAGGTAGCAAGTAAGGACACGTGAATCGTACTGTCTCATTCACACCAAATGCAATTTTTACTGAAACACTGGATTGCAGTTTCAAACAGAGACCTCCAAGGTAGAAAAGTAAGTTTTGCATGACAAGGTGACTTGGCAGCCTGAAAAAGTTAACTTTTTACTCATAAAACTCTGCCTCAGGGATATTCAGATGAAGTCAACATTTATCATGTTCTTTACCAAAACAGAGAAAACTGAGAAAAAAAATTTCTCATCTTTCAGGTCAGAATGATAAAGAAAACCAAGCTCAATACTCATTTATAAATGTGCTTACCTTATTCATCTCTGTTTCCTGAGATGCAAGCTTATGTTGTGATTCTTCTAACTGGTTAACTAGGGACTTCTTCTCCCTTGTAATTCTCTCTACTTGAGCCTCCAAAGCAGCCACATCCTCAGACAAAGTTGTTACCTGCAAAAAGTCCAAGAACAGTATAATGATGCAATTTAACCAACCACAGATCTAAATATCATGGGACTTCCTCCTCAAAAGCACCTGTATGTAGCTAAAATACATAGCATTAAAAACACACAAAAAAATAAGCACTTATAATAAAATATATCCTATACTATGAATAATATAACAGAATATGGCTAAATTATTTAAACAATAGGTTCATAATTTTGATTTAATTTATCATACAGCAGTTTATTTCACACTTTTCATCAATTGGACTAGTCTCCAGGACATGTTAGTATGGACAAAGTGTGAGAAGTAGCTGGCTGCATTAGTTTTGCAGCTGTAAGAGTACTATTTAACACCTCCAAATCCATCCTTATGTAGATGGATTTAAACCGTGTTTCCCCAGCTAACAAAAACTGTCATTGTGACCACAGATCTTAAATTAATTTTCAAGTTCAGAAAACATTTCAGCACTAAAGATCAAAGCAAGATGTTGTACAAAACCCATACAGAAATAGTATGTTAAAACTTCCAATGTAATTCAGATCAAGTTTTGCTGAATGATAAAAAAGTAAAAATGAAACAGAAACAGTGAACCTTCAGCTATTTAGCCCTAAAGCTTACTAATATAAGTGGAAATAATGGTGTATGACAGTTCTAGGTTAACTTACAGAAATTCAAAGCCAAACCTAGAGGTTTATATATTCCTAACTATTTTTCACTTCTTCTACATCCACCTGATTTATGTATCATGCCAATTCTCCCCTTCAAACAAATCATTTCATAAAGTAAGTGATAAAATATTCATGTGAAGGCTGATTTGATGCACAGTGTACCATTTCTACCATCTCATAATCCTAAAACATAAAAGTAGTTAATCATATGTAGGTGTAAATCATTAATACAGATTATAGGTTTCTATAAAGTCATCCCATATCTTTAATTACCAAGCATTATGTCATCATAATGTCACTATATGTTGTCTAATGTGTATGGAGGATTTTAAAAAAGTACTACAAACACTTAAAGTGGGAAACAGTTCCCGTAAAACGTATCTCTCTGGGTGATGAAATACAAAGTAATGTGATGATACGGAGTGAAATATTCGACCAAAACAAAAAGAGTATGAAATGCTTGTCTAATAGGGTGTATTTTGGAGTGCATACTCTGCTCTAAAGCAACTAACTAAACAACTAACTTTGTAAGTGCGATAACTTTTAATAGACAGCAATGAGTCAAACAAGGAATTGATTAATAATGTCTCACTGTCTGCAGAGTAAGGTTTTGGGTCTTTTATTTCAGTTTCCCTGGTGACAGATTTCTGATGATTGCTTACAACAGTTCACTTTCTTAAGTATCTCTTAGTCCCTATCACTGTGCTTAATTCCTGGTTTTATATTCAGAACTGGAGTCAAGGCTTTGACTTCCTACAGCAACTTCAGAACATTGTATCAGAAACACAGCCATATCAACTTGGTTCCCTGGTTATGTTAGTACTTTTCCAGCCATTTTACAAGCAACAACACTACTACAAAAAAACTTTTTTTTTTTGTCCCCCTCATGCTTAATTACTTTATCCTATTCAGTCTGCGCTCTCTTTATTTTTAGAAATAAGCCATACAGTTTATAAAAGAGCCCCGAAATATGGAAAAAAAGCCTACAATCAGAAGAGGAATTCACTCTCTTGTTTCCAAACCTTCACTAGAAAATGGTTGAAAAGGCTGCAACCACTAATTCATGAAGTATTTCTCCCTCTACACTCTTCCTCTCATTTCAATCACCTTAAAAGTGCCTCCACTATCAAGTCTCACAAGCTTACTGCTGTTAGCATGAGGTTTCCTCTGCAGTCTAAAACAAGGTTATCAAGACTATCACAATGGTCGTGGTATAAACGATAAGACAGATTCTGTCTCGAAGAGTTTATAAACATCAGTAAAAGTGAGAAAAGAGATTCCAACACATTTCTGCAGGTGGGAAAACTAAGCATATGATAAGATCACTCTGAAATTATGATGTTGTAACGCTAATGTATATGTAAGATCAAAGCAGCAAAGAATCCTAAATTTGACATGTGCTAACTTCTGAATGTTTCACTTGGCAAGAGAAATAATAATCTTTATAAGAAAGGTAGGTACAAACCTTGAATCATGTATCACTTAACCCTTTCCTACTTTGACAAAGTGCATCAGAAAATATTATGCAAACCAAAATAAAGTGCATAACATTCTACCTAGTGACATAGCATAAAGCCACTTATTCACACTCAAAGGATCACTGCTCTAAAGCAATGGTAGAAGTGCTTACTGAGAGAGACTTACTGAGCTCTCACATCCAAAACTGAAAATTAGACAAGCAAACAGGAAGTTTAAAGAAGATGGTATACTCATTGTAATACACAAATGGAAAAAAAGAACCCAACTCATACCATAGCTGCCAAGTCCTCCCTTTCCTTCTTCATTTCTTCCCGCAGTGCTTCTTTTTCATCAGCCCTCTTGTTTATCTGGGCAGTTAACTCCCTTTCAAGACAAGTCTTCTGCCGTTCCATCTCACTTTTCAGTTGCTCACAGTAGACTAGAGCCTAAAAAAACCCAACTATTTACTTAAATGGACAAACAGATTTTTAAACAGACATGCTATTTCTCAAATACCTTCAGAGAGACAAATTTTCTATTAGAAATATCATATATTTATTTTTACGTAGTTATGACAATGTTTATACATAGGCTGCCCTGTAACATCCAGAATAGGACAAACAAAATGAAAACAGATGTCTATGTTTGTATGTATATATATGCCTTGAGAAATCTGATTGGTTTTAGGAGTCATGGCAAAGATGGAAGCATTTTTCAAAGTGCATTTCCCAAATAAGTAGGTGGTCTTCTAAAACTATGATTATTTGCCTTGCTTTTAGAATTCCTGAATGCACCTCACTAGAATCAGCCTTCAATATCCGACTCCTTGCAAATACTGTGGTTATTGCCTAACTGCAAGAAAAATTAATAAAATGTATGCACTTCCACTTGTTCTGCCCCTGACATGAATTAGAGTGCAAAATGCTATGAAGAAACTTGAAAGCAGTAAGTAAAGATAAATATAAACAATTTTTAAGACTTTTTTTTCCTGAGTTTTATGTTTGTCAAAAAATAATTATACTAAAAACTCATAGACATAATGCTTACTTTGAGATGCTAAAACACAGATTAGAAATGTGTTTTCTATCAAAAAAAGAAGAAACATAAGCTCAAGAACACTCTAAAAACACTCTCTTCTAAAAAAGCTAGG